GGCTGCGGCGCCGCCCGTGAATTTTGGATAAGGGCTCGAGCTTTGTAAACGTTATGGTTCTTAGCGTGATGAGACCTTGAACTTTTTGGTTAACGCAGCGTAAATATACTTTTTTGACGCGGGCTGACATGATCACCTCACAGGCTGCCTTTACTTTTCAGTCCCTCTTTAAGTTTTGAGATTCCTGCATAGTTAAGCTATCTATGGCAAGAGAGATGTTTGAAATGTGTAAGGAAACACCGTTTCTCGGCAAAGGACCTCAGTCCTGAAGTTATTTGCTTTGTGACATTTGTTCTAAAATTAACTTTTTTCAGGTTGTCTACAATCAATGGCTTTAAAGTCATTGGCTTTGTATTCTCTTATTTATAAAAATACAGAAGTATGGGAAGTTGCATGTATTTCTTTCCTGTATTTAGGAAGCATTTAATTTGGATTAAATCCTGCTGCATAATCTCATGCGTTTGGGTTATATGTATGATTTTTATCATTACTTGCTTTTTAGGTTCAAGAAGACCTTCACAACCTTAAAGTTAAAGTGAAAAATATCAACTTGAAAGGAAATGTAAAAGCTGTGGATACTAGCGACTTCGAAACAGCAATTGAAAGAACTGAACTTGGGCTGAGAGTAAGTAAAATGGAGCAGATCCAGAACATGATTCAGTTTTTGAGATTTCTGTCAGTAATTCACTTAGAGTACATGGGGCCATGTATTTGTCATCCTGCAAGATCCCCTTCTGATTAGCAAATGATGGGATTCATCAGCTGTTACAGTTCAAATGATGGCTTCCTCTTTTAGGTTGTCAGAATTAACTGATCTTGTGCCTCATACCATTAGCCAAAATCAGATTTAGTCCAACAGAAGCACAAAGCCTATCAACTTTTCAGTCAAGTGAAGATTTGGATTGCTAAATTAACTGAGTTAAATAAATTTAATATCCCTCATACCTGTGTAATAGTCTAAACATTATTTTTTTCCCTCTAACAGAAACATGCTGAAAATTATTTAAATGCTATAAACAGAGAAGTGTTAACTATTTCTTCTACTGATAATAAAGAAGTACATTCAAAAGAGCCCCCTAAATGGTAAGTGAAACTGCTGTTTTATTGCAGAGACAAATGCAAGCAGCAAGACAGAAAAACTGTGGTATCAGAATCTCGTAAAGCAAATGTAAGTATTGGCTCCGATTATTTTGGTCACTTGCTATTTTGGTTTTATTTTGTTTAAGTTAAAAAACCATACAAAAGTAAATGCAGATCTAAGTAGCTACAGCAACCTTTTGCTAACTCCTGTGATTTTTTTCATTAAACACAAATTTAAATAAAAATATAGTATTTCAGATTCAACCAGATAGAAGCAGTATGGGTTTAATAGGTAAAATCAAAGTAATTTTTAATTTTAATTTTGTTTCTTTCTAAATCAGGGGCCTTCATTTTGGTGCTACTCAGAAACAGCTTATTTTACCACGAGTACCTGTTGAGCCAGTGACTGTCCAGGCATACAGCAAATCAGCACTACGTGTTTGTCAAAGTTCACAGGTCTGAAATAACATATTACTTACTCTGCCAGAGACCCCATTAAATGAGACTGGTGTCTTGTAGGTTACCAGTTGATCCCATAATGTGATGTTCTGACTCCACATGGATTCAGTTTTTGATAATATACCATCTATGACTGAATGTGTTAAAAAATTCTCAGTAGAATGAGTGGGCTGAGAGATAGGAGCCTTCTCCCAGCCTCACAGTCCAGATAAAATCTAAGTTAGGAAAGACTTCAGTATCATCATGGGTGCATCCACAAACCTTCCATTCTTTATTTCCACCCCCCCACAAGTATATTGTTAAAGAGTTCTGAAACTAAGTGTTTGTTCAGCTTTAAGGTCCCAGTCCTGCAAATACCATATGCTTAACTGTGATTCTGCAAGTAACGTGACTAAAATAAATGGAACTGTATATTGGAATAGCATGAGTACAGATATAAATGTTTGTGGTGTTTCAGGCTGAAAGTGGTTCTTTTTTTTGTTTTTGCGTAAAAGATATGGCAAATTGTGGGAAAGACTTCTATTCATGTATAGGGTAGTCACCTCTATGATAAATATATGTTTTCTCCTTGAAATCTGATTTTTTGCTGTTTCTATAAATGAAATCCTTGTAAAATCATTTAAAGCCTTCTTAAAATGTTTGTATCTGAAGTATTTTTGCTTTTTTATTCAAAGCTGTGAATTTTGACTGGTGAGTTTAAGGTGGTTTCCTCAAACATATTTTAAAAAAAAAAGAAGGTAATTAGTTGATTTGAAAAATACCCATTGTCACAATTTTGAGTTATTACTGTTTAAATTCAAGGGAGCTTTGAGTGAGAGAGAACCTTAAGAAGAGGCTCTCTGTAGTTCTAAGACTGTTACCAGAAGCTAAGGATTGAAGCTACTTGAAATGGTATAACCAGAATGAGCAGCCTAACACTTACACTGCTGATTATCTTGTAAAAGAAACCCCCATAAAAAGAAGAATTAAAATATTGCTTACTCTTGAAATTATGGATAAGGTGCAATGAGATGTCTGATTTTTTTTTTTTCAGCCAGTATTCCAACCCTGTCCTATATGAATACACTTACATTGTGAGGGAAAAAAAAAAAAAATCTGAGTTCAGCTACTCTGTAAACTCTGTATTATCTATGGTCTTTCAACTCTTCGTGTGCACCAATGAGCTTAATTTACAGTGGAGCACATGCTCTGTCCTGCCTTGACTTTCTCTTTGTCTTTTCATTTCTGGTATCTATGGTATCTGCTTAGAAATGCATATCTAGTGACACACAAGCTAGTCCTAATTTCGCATTATAAAGAAAATGGCAAACAGTGCTGTTTTGCCAGCTGTTCTACATGCCCAGCATGCCAACATAAAAAGCTTTTATTATTAAATAGTTGTGAAATCCAGCTGGGAAATTATCACCTACAATTCCTTACTTCCTGTCTTTTCCTTACTTGTAGCTATAAACAGTTTTGGTTTTTCTAAGCATACTTTGGTGTTTTTCAAAATTCCTTTCCACTCAAAGGAAATACTAGTGAACTGAATAGTTTTGTGTTCACAGATAGCATTTCCACGTACGTAGGCTTGAAGAAACCAGCGTTTCAACTCGTAGTGGTTCTGAGAGAAATTAATAATTCACGCAAGTAATATTTTTGTGCTTTGCAGTCCATAGTATGCTGTGCAAGAGTAGAAATGGAGCATAAGTTGTGTTTGTAGTAGTTAGGATGAAACAAGGTTGGAGTCAAATAAGCACAGATGCTATTTTCACATATGCATTGCTAGAATACTTGTCATATGGGAAATAGCTTGCCCACAGGTGTCAGAATAGGCTTAAAATTATTGTTTACTCACAAGTACAGTATTTCTGAGTCATATCAGCAGCTGGATAAGACTCTGCAAATCTAGTTCATAGGGGGAATTGTGAAGCGCTGTCCCCTTCCCGCTCCCCCCCACTATGCGTTGTAATTGGATTTCTTCTTCTAATAAAACTTGAGAACCATAAAGAGGTGTCGTCTTTATGCAGTAATTGTAACACCTCTGTATAGCAATGGATGAAAAAGATATTTTTATCCATAACTGGTAGGAGCACAGGTTAATTTTTTTTTAAAAAAACATGCTTAATTGAAAACACCTGAACTGATGCTTGTGCAGCTTTGTTTTTTGGGGGTTTTTGTTTTTTCTAAAAGTTGATACTTTCTGTGACATTCTGAATACACAGTAGAAGGTAATATTCTTTCATCATTAACAGAGTTAAAGATGTAAATGAAAAGATGTTTCTAGGGGCCTCTAGAATATGCAAATAACATAAATAGCTAGACATGAAAAGTGGTTTAGTTACCAATAATAGATTGTTTCAAAAGTTAATATAATGTAGTCCATTCATAAAGGAATTGGACTCTGTTAGAAACCACGCACCACATGCATCTGCAAAACAGAATTACCTAGTGAATCAGATTTGTTGGCTTACTACATGATAAAAATGCCCTCGACTCTGAAATGACTCTTGTGTTGAAGTAGAACAAGATTTGAACCATGTAACTGTACTGAACACGTCAACCTGTTCTGTATGCTCCAGTATACTCCATGTTAATAATTGAGCACAATAATTCTCATTCTCCTTGAGCATTATATTAGTAATAATGCCTATTTGCCTTGCTATTCTCATCATCTTCTTGTTCTGCATCAAGATGGTTCAAGATAGCTTAAATTTTAGACTTTGGATAATACAGATGCATGGATAATGTAGATGGAAGAGACCTATGATACCATCTACACCAGCTCATGCATATGTAGAATTGTCACTTGCCATACATCTAAGCTGACAAAGAAACTTTTATCAGTTTTTTTATTAAGCATTTCAATTCTTCTTATCCTGAGTGGAATCTGCCACTCCAGCATTGATCATTTCACTGTCAATCTGAGTGGGGAGTCTGCACTGTGAATCATCTCCCATTTTAATTGAGAAGGTACTCAGTTTTCCCCCAATTCTTGTTTAATAGCACAAGCAGTTTCTCTTCTGTACAGTGGTGTGTTATAGTAATAAAATAAATACTACAAAATCACTGATGAGGTGAAAATTGAACTTTCTGTCTCTGTGCAGCCATGTGGGTAAAAGAGTAATTGGTTTGGATAATAACTTTTGTTCTTACAAACCCAAATCTAAATGAGTGTCTCATTGATACATCTGCTTGTAATTACTATCAAAAGAAGAGAATATACTGTGCAGATAAATAAATTAAACCATTTTTAGTGCTTTCGCAAAGTAATACAATTGTTTAATAGTTCAAATAGACCTCTAATGATTCTTAGACTTTTTATGGCATATTTTGTTTGTCAAAAAATAGAGTTCTCATGAATTTATTTTTACATTTATGCAATAGAAGTATCAGCAGAGACTTCTTGTGTATAAATATATTTAGTTGGATCTTACTACGTAAGGGAGCTTTTTGTATTCCTGTATCCACATAATGAGAATTAAGCGCATATGCTGCCAGGCCCCCAGCTCCTCTGAATTACCTTACCTCTGTTGACTTCTCTGGTGATGCATTAGTTTCTGCCATTTGAAGATTCTTCCTTATTCAGCATTTGTTGGTAAATAAACCCTGTTGGGTGCAGAGTCTAGTTAGCAATTAGTTATTGTAGTAAAAGTGTTGGGAGATACTACTACACTTGATACAGATCCAGGTGTAAACTAAAGCACGTACATTAAGATGAACCAAAATGTTTTCAACTTAAGAAACTTCTACTCTAGTAAAAATATATGCCATCACTTCTGGCTTTTATAGAAAATGTATGTGCTTTAGATACTACTTATAACAAGAAGAAACTTTAAAAATCTTTTTCTGTCCATTGGGATTTAAATCATAATAATTTCTATTAGCAAAATAGTTGAATCCATTCCATGCAGATAACACAGTACATTAAGCAACCGCTATGTTTTAATTCTTATTACTTTTATTTCCTCATTTACTTAAAAGCAAGTGCTCTATCTGTATTGAGTCAATGGGCCATAATCGATCCAAAGAAGCTGTTCTGTTCCATCAGGTCAATGATTCCTGAATTAAAGTCTCTGGCAAACACGGTCAAGGTAGTTTGGACTCTTATTATCATCTGTGGGAAGAATGCACATGTAAGACCCTCCCAATAGATAGGGTGTGTATAAAACATTTGTTATAACACAGGTAAATGGAATTCACAAATTACCTACGTTGATCAAGTGAGTCAAACCTGATTGTCCTTTCTACTCAAAGTTTAACTCAAAAGTGCACAAATTTGGAAATTTCAGAGCTTGTAATGAAATTAATAGACCAAATTTTGGCAAAAGCGTATATGTGAATAGTAGTTGTATGCCTTGCTAAGTCATCCATCTAATCAAAAGGCATTTTTTCATTGTTTGCCCAGTTCTGTGTGGACGCTCAAATAACAGGAATTTTTATCATAATTTTGCAAGTTTATGAATATGTTAGCTAATTCCTGTTTATAAACACTTCTGTCCTAGTGCAGTTATTTTAAGACTATGCATATTATATATTTCAGCAGCAGCTGGAAATGGATATGAAAATTATGCTTGATCCAGAGAACATCAATAATAAAGCTGTTTTAAAAAAACAGAACTACAAGACCAGGTTGCCACTTATAACTAAGAAAAAATCTGCTCCTGTAAGTAATTTGTATTATCTTATGGGCTTATTATATGCATTACTTTTCACTATTAATGTTAGTACATATCAGATCTAAATAAAAAAGATTAAATACCTTATAATTTCCTCCTTTTTGACATTGATATGTAACAATCAAAACATTTTGAGTGACAATACTGGAGAAAACAAACCTGTAGCATAACAGGTTTAGGTAGCAAGACCCCAATCCAGCAAAAGTATAAGTACACATGGGAATGTGCATGGTAAGTAATCTCAGTAAAATCAGGGAGTGAAGATAAGCAAACCAGAGCTTGTGGAGTTTAGGAAGTGACGCAAAGATCAAGGAAGAAGTAAAAGGGGTTTTGCTGACAAGAATGGGCTTTCAGTTGTTCATTCTATGACCATTTCTTAAAAAGACAAGAATACATTCTGTTTTCCAGTGATAACAGGATCATTAGGAATGAGTGAAAAATGCTTGTACTTTGTTTTGATGATCTTTTTAATTGACTTTTTTTAAAAAAGCAATCGTGCCACAGGATTGCTGACACTGACCAGAAATCAGTGTCACTGAATCAAAAAAATAGGGGTTATACTGAAAGAGAATCAGAATCCTAGAGTGACTACATGAATTTAGGTGTCGTTTACATCTTATTTTTCTGACATGGTTTGGGAGGGAATGTCAAGTTCTACTTCTCCATGCTGAGAGCGCTCACTTTGGAATGTGAGGGACAGATTCAGGTCCTTCCTTTCTATATGGAGATATTTCCATGTCTTGTAGATCCCAAGTGTCCTCACTGTCAAGCTACAAGGTATTCTGCAGCACAGCCTTTCTTTTATCTCTAGTCAAGCTGTTTCCCTTAGTACAAAACAATATCTACCAAAGCTGAGACTGAGCACTTCCACAACGCTCTCCTAAGAGTACCCTGACTAGAATCCATCAAATCACCCTTCTCAATTCTTTCTGGTCTGAGAATGTTCAAGTTGTGTAAGATTAAGTTTTGATTCTTCCAAATTTGTGTTCTGTAACCGCTGCTCCTCTTAAATAAACAAATGAACATGAAGATGACATTTTCTGCAAAGTATGCTTTTAAAAAAATTTAATAGGCACAGACATCCCTCCAAAGATCAATTATGTTCACAAATTCAGCACAGCACTGTGGTCCACATGAAAGAATATGCCCAATGGTCTCACACAAGGATGCTCTTCTACAATTTAATTTATGTAATAGAAGCATTATGCAGCAAGCCCAGTGCTATAAGAGACATTCTAGGGTATTTGGTTTTAAACAGCATAAATAGAATCTGTGAATGGCACAGCTGTAAGCTGCCACTTATAAAAAATGATTTTTGAAAGCTGTTGCCCAGACTAAGAGGTGATTTGTCTAACCCTGTGATATAGAGTTAATTAGAAAAAAGCATCATGGCTAATAGCTTTTTAGAACCACTCTACAACACTCACAGAGAGGAATATTATACTACTGCGGAGAGCCATGTGTTTTACCACTCTCACTGAAACATAGACTGATCAGAGAAAACTTAAATTACAAACATTTAGTGAAAATTAGTCAAGCTCTCTGATACATATTTACAGTTGCTAAGGAACTGTTTATGACACGGAGATGGGCTGAAAAAACAAGTAGGTATTTCCTATCTCTAATTTATTCTACAGCTTTTACTGAAGCTTTTTAGAAGTTTTTGAATCCCATGACACAATCTGTGTTTTGAAATGTTCTAGCTTCACTGGGGGTAAAATTTTGCAATTAGATTTTCAAAATCCACTACTGAGATTGTGAATTAAGACATTTTTGTTAAATGTGATCTATACTAGCACTTAGAGGAATGATAGTTAGAGATCCCCAATAGTAACTAAAATAAATTGATGTGTAGATGCAGGTCTAAAATTATATGGTCTTTAGTTTTGAAAAAAATATCAATTAAAGTAGCCTCAAGAATTAAGTTAGGTGCTACCTACCCTATTTTTACTAATCAGCCATTAGAGGGCAATATTTGTACGCACACATGCAGGCACACACACGTATACCCATGTACATGCTGTACATATGTACATAAGTTCAAAGATTATCTCCCAAAAAAATCAGTAGCAGAAGGACTCTCATTGAAGTAAATTAAAAACTAATTGCTTGGTTAACTGCATTCAGGTTTTTTCCAAGAGTTGTCAGCATCTGAATTTTCAAGGAGACCTGAGCATTTAAAAATGTGATGAGATTAAAAACACACTGGTTTTGAGGTGACTAGATAGGTCAAGCACAAATCTACACGGACTTTTTATTATCCTGCCATTTGAGTAGTTTGAAAAATTATTAGTAAGGATCTCATTGTTTCATGAAAAATGTCTTCTTTTCTTGCTCTTTTGGTATTGTAAAATTGCTGACGCTGGATTTTATGACAGAAACTAAGAACAATTAACTGTTGCCCTTTTGTACTTTTTGGGGTCTGAGAAGCACTAATGCTTCATCCTCTGTAAAGTTCTGTAGTTATCTTAAAATGAGGACTGTAATTCTGTTTGAAACACCATGGGCAGACTGGGCATCACTTTATTTTGTAGCCTATATCTGGATAACAAATGAAAAATGATAAGTAGATAATTATTAAATATGTATACTTCCCATGGAATATCTAGCAAAACAAATAGTAATCTGAATTGCAGCAAAAATAATTCTGACGAACTGCTGCAAGAGTAGAAAAGATTCACAACTATACCTTTCGTTTTCATAGGACTGCTGTTCTTTTATAGAATTATACTGGCACTTTGGTCCTTGTTTTCTTATAAATGTATATTATACTGTAAACTTGGAACCTTTTAATTTATTCATGAGGTAGAATTTAATATGGTGATGATTTCTAGCCTTTGAGTTGCATCTTATATAGTGTGGCTCTAATGGTGATGGCAGTGATTCTGTGTTCTGTTTGGGGTTTTTTTTAAGCTAACTTATTTGAGCACAACCATTCTAGTCATATCGTCAGTTATTCATTCTTTATTCAGTATTTGCATCATGCTAATCACTAATGCTTATCAGCGAAAGTCTATTCATTTCCAAAATTATAAAGTAAGGCAAAACAGGGCAATTATTTTCATTTCAAGTGACTAGAAGAAGTTGTAGAAGAAAAACAGGTCTTTTGGTCCTCAAAACCTGATTGTGTTTTAAACTTATGCATATGGCTATAATTACAGTCAAAGCATAATTTGGCAGTGGTAGCAGAATGAGACTTAAACAAGTCGATGTTGCTCTACAGTAATTCAAAACAAGCTTGTTGCATTTATATTATGGTATGTAATCATAATAACCAGCACAGTGAATTAATAAAATCTTTTTGTCACTAAAAATAAAAAGGAAATAATTGGTGAGATAGCGTTAACTTAACAGATGACTATAGTCAGCATCCTTTCAACCTAGAAATGGGAATGTGAAGGTCACCCCCATCTCAGATGACAAACGTAGAACATTTTGTTGGTAAACAAATTAATCTTTTGAAAGGTCACCATTTGTTTTAAGTTTTTATCCAGTTCTTGTCATCTGGAATTGGAGATTGACTGTCATTTTGCTAGGTAGGGGTGCAGCCGAAGCTGCTGAAGCTGTTTCTGTGCATATCAGCATTCCTTGACAAAACTCAGTGCCTGATTGTGATGCTATGGGCTGCTGGTTTACAGCTGTCTCCGGACAAGAATGGAGGCCCACCCCTGAATTCCAATAAGTTGGTCCTGCATAGTCTGCCTCGTGCAAGCTGGCCCTTTGCCCACAAGTAAAATGTATTGTAGTTCAAGCCAGCAATTATCTTTCTTACTTCCTTCTGTGCTGCTTCTGTTGCCTTTTTCAAAAAGCAGATGTGGGATTCACCAAAGTTCTCCATCTATTCTCGCTTGCACCTGTTATGACAGAATTTTGAAAGAGGTAAATTTCTGGGAGAGCTAGCGGCAGGCCGTCAAAGGAGCAAAGCTTGATTTTTCCAAGTACATGGAAAATTGACAGTTCAGAGCCATCTCTGGTTGCTTTAAGAGCTTAAAGTAGGTAAGAATAACATATGAGACCTGTTGGTGAAGATGCCTAGTTGCTCCATATTGAAGGTTCTATGTTGGGCTTTCCATTTAAATTGGACTTCATTTTCTGTAGATGAACAAAACCTGAGGGAAATAATATGTATGAATATCTTAGTATTACATCTAAGGGAAACTGTATTAATCATTAGGTAGATAAAAAGCTGGACTATGTAAATTGGAATGAGAAGGACAAATTTTAATTTTCTATACAGTTTTCGTACTCAGAAATCTTCTTGAATAAAAAGACAACCAGTCATAAAAATTGTTCATGTTTTAAATCTCTCATAGAGACTGTTACAAATTTGACTCATCTGATTTTAGAATAGTTCCACTGACACTGGTAAGAATTTGTCCTCTACTTAGCATTCAGTATTTCTGCATTGAATTCCACGTGCTGGTTCTTAGACTCGGAGGACCAAAGTTAGGTTATTTGAAACCAGAGTTAAACACTTTATTTATTTACTATTTATTACTGAGATTATTTGGCTTGATTGTAAGAACGAGATTCTTTTTCCCAATAGAAACTGATAGATGATGGAAGTGTGAGTGAAACAATTCTTTGATATTGCTTCCTTGCTTTGCTGCTCAGGGTGTAAATCAACAAAGGAAGAATGCATCCGTTTAGACTATAAGGCTGTGAAAGTATAAAATACAATGAAATCCTACAGTAATTCTCATCTAGACAAAACCAGATCTATTGTGGGTAGTAGACTCAAAATTGGACTTGATGTCCTACAGAGAGCCCTTCTAACCAACATTTCTGTTATTTCTGTGATTCTGTGATTGAGAGCAAAGAGTGAAAATCACTTAGCCACCTCTGCCTTTACTCCATTTGAGTTTTTTACAATCTGAACTGATTTTCTCCCATTGCTCAAAACTTACCTCTTTCTCCTGCATGAACAGCAGGCTTTGTTGATTTGTAACCACTTATGGGACAGACCCACTGAAGGCTCTCAGTATCCTTCCATATTGACATAGAAATTCTTTCTGAATTAGTTATCAAAGCAACTTTGTACCTCTCTCAGAGTAAGTTTGTCCAAACCATACTTTCTTAGCTTGCTTGTATGATATCATGACCAGGTAGCTTCAAAAGCCTTGCTGAAGTCAAGAAGTAGTACTTTTTCTTCCCTGTTGACAACACTTGCTAACCTGTTGTAGAAAAAAAAATCAGATTGGTCTGACAAATTTGATCTTAACGGGTTCAAGTTGCTCATTTATTTGTTACTTTCCAGATGCTTATAATTAGCTTGTTTCGTTATTTGTTTAAAAAGTTTTCCAAGAATTGTAATTAAACCAATAGGGCTAGAATTTCTCAACACATCCTTTGCCCCTTTCTAAAGATAGGCATTATGCTCTTTTCCAGTATTCTAGTATATTTTCCATTCTACATGAGTCCCACCAGCAGTTCTGAGATTGCTTTAGACTGTTGTTTAAGTATCCTAGAGTGTATTTTGTCAGGACCAGCCAGTTTGAAAACCTCTGAGCACTATCTGATCTGTTTTGCACTTAAGGTAGCCTGAGACCTCTTCCCTTTTGCACTACAATTAAGTCAGTTGATTCTACTCATAACTAGCTGCTTTTTTTAATGATAATTATGAATGTACTTAATGATGTCATTTTTTTTATTACCCGTAAGTTTCTTCCTACTTGCATCTCATTTTGTCTTACCCGTTTAAGCAAACAAGAAGCAGTTATGGGTATGCCCACTTTCTGTTTTCTGTATGCTTTTGTCTTCTTTTGAGATCAATGAAGAACATAGGATTTATCAACTTTGGTAACTTGCTATCCTTCCTATCCTGCTTTATCTCTGGAATAGTTTGACCTTGTTTCTGTAGTACATTTTATCTGTGGAACAGACTGTTCAGCGGAGTTCCAGTTTCCCTTAGACTTGCCTTCTACAAGTTCTTACCTGCCAGTTTCCTGAGCATATTGAAAACTGACCTTAGTTCCATTGATTCTATTTTGCTATGCTTCTTCCTTCCCTTTATAGGGATTATGAACTGCGTACATCAAATCTTGATAGGATCTTTTTAATAAAAAATATGAAGGTAGATGGCAATTTGGAGAAGATAATCATGAAATGATAGATTACTTTGTTATATATGTTTTCTACCATTACTATCAAGCCCTGTGGCTTTCTGATATTTGCTTACCAAATCTCATCCATCTAATCGTCCTGGATGATAAACTCTAGTTTTGATACATGATAGTACTCATCTTTTCTCTGTATTTAATACTAGTCTCTATTCTTTTACTGGGGGAAAAACATATTTATAAACATATTTTAAAAAAGAAGTTGTTCTAGTTAAATATTGCTGTCTAGGTAAAAAGAAAACAAATGGAGAACTAATCAGAAAATCCCTGTGGTGTTACAACAAGTGCCCTATTTAAAATGAAGCAAAAAGAAAAAAATCAGGTGGGAGAGGTTTATCCACAGGAGAAAAACACTTTAGAAAGGGTAATAGAATTGTTTTTCTCATGTCCCAGGTTAATTACACTCAGAAGTGCTTGAAATGAAAAAATAGTTTTTCAGCACACTCCAAGCATATTATCAGGCAAGTAAGCCTTAGTCTGCACTGCAAATTAAGTGCTCCCTTCCAACCCTATAAAACTGTACTTTAAAAGTACCCATGATGAAGCAGGCTGTGTGCTGACTTCAGTAAAGTATACTTGCTGAATCATAATCTTCATAACAAACTTCGCTAGAAGACATTATTCATGCAGGAAAATGTTTGAGGTTCCAATCACCTCGTAGCACTAACGGTTGCCAGAGAGGCAGCAGATAAGGTGCCTACGTGTTAGTGTTGGATAGAGTGTGATCCTTTGCTTCCATGCTGTTTTGGAATGTCTGTCTACACTACAAACATTAAAATGCTAGTTAGGAGCTCTCAGTTCTGGAATACATGGTATTAAATTCACTAAGTTTTGTGTTTATGCCATAAAAGCTGTAGGTGTGAGTCAAGGTTTTAAATTGTGCTGACATAAGCAGATGGAAGTCTATTGAAAACCTCTTAAAAAGATGGAATCTTTTAAATATCTTCTTAAGTTAAATCACTCAATAATGGTAATAAAACTATATAATGATGCTAAAAGTAAACGTTTTTCTTGCAGTACTTAATATTATTTTTATTATTTTTAAGGTCTTATTGTTGTAATTGAGTTGGCTTAATTTTAGTGAAAATAACTGAAGGATGAAAGCATTTTGTCAAATTTTGCTTTGATACCTCACTGAAGTCTTCCAGAGGGCAGCTAATGCAGCAGATAGGATGCTGAAAGAACATAGAAGAAGGGTGTACAGACTGGGTAGAATTTTCATAGGTGACTGTTTTGGGTCAGCTCCATAGTTCCACTATGTTGCCTGTACTATGTAATGAAGTGAATAGTAGTGGCACTGTGCAGTGTAAATGGGAGCTTAAATTACATTACAGTTGCATCTGTCCTTATTTTAACGTGACACCTGCCATGGACTTTATAGAAATTAAAGGATACAGCAAAGAAGAATTAAATCTCTATCTCTGGTTTAAAAAAAACCAACCAACCAAACAAAAAAACCCCAAACCTCTAGGCTGCTTTTGAACCCATACACTCCACCTGAATTGCTTTTCTTTGTAGCTTATTACATCACTACGAACACAAATGAAATACATATATTTCATAGTGCTGTTTATCATAATAAAACTCCTGGGATTTAAACTAGGTTAAAGCTGACCAAAAGTAAAATCAGTGCTGCTTTACCGATACAATAGCAATAGCCTGAAAAAGGAGTCACTGTTTAATTAAATTTCTTTCCTTTTATATATTTTTGTTGTGTCCTCAACAAACTGCTGGGGCTGAGAGTGAGTAGAAAAGTGTGGTTTATTATTCCCTTTTCTCAGTATCAAGCCACTTATATGCCAGCTGGTATAAAGTTAATCTTTGTTATATGCTTATTGCTATTTTCTTGGAACACAAGGACTTGAAGATTCATACATCTAGATCCCTTAAAGCATAATGCTTATAATGGCCACAACTAAAATGAGTGCCTGAAAGATTTCTCGGAAAGATTCTCCATTATGATAAAGCATATATATTTTCTATCTCCCTAATGTCTCTTGTGGACAGTGTTATTATACAAATTGGGAGGAAAAATTATAATAGTTTATTTTGATCTATCTCATTTCCCTATTAGGTTTATAAGCAGTTCTTTAGAATTGCCTATCCCTTTCTATAAAGTTGATTATTGATGTTATTCACTAATTATGACACAACAGCGCTCAAAGATCCCAATCGTGGCCTGGATCCTATTGTACTAAAAACTGTGCGCAAGCATGATAATCAGTCATTAAAACCTAGTATTTTAAACCAGGAAGTCCCAATGTGCTCTATAAAAGAGGTAAATGCCATTATTCCCATTTTGCAGATCTATCAATATTTCCTAGCTTTCTGATTTTATGTATTAATATTATTTTAAGGTAGTTTATCATTCATAATGAAATAATTTTTTAAAAGCAAATAAAAATTTCCAGCACATGGCATTAGGTTGTCTTCCATATAGCTCATCAGTAAGGTTCAAACATTTCTATCCAATGTAAGAATTTCTAACCATTACACTAATGGAGTAACTGCTAACAGACTGTCACCCACAAAAGCATGGGACACTTTTTTATTGGGCTTCACAGCTATTTGCTGACTAAAGATGAGACTGTGGGATCTTTAGGTGAGGGAGATGTGCCCTGTTGCATACAAAGCTGTTTGCTTCCTTTTCCCAGTCTGCCCCAGTTTCCACCTTTCCCATTTTTATCTTGCCCCAGTCTTTCTGTTCCTTGCAATTATCTTCTGAGACTGCTTCCAGAACATATCCTAATCTTATCTGCCTGATTCTCTGCTAGGCTCTTTGTCCAGCCTGTCCCAATGTTCTTTCCTAACCCTGCTGCCCCCAGGTCTTTCTCCTTGTCCAATCTGCCTGCTGGCTTTCCTGTTTGCTCAAAGACCCAGTATGCCCTTCCAACTACCTTTCTTCTTCTTAAGATTAATAATATATTCAGATCTGTCTGCTGGCACTTATTTACCCTGGTCATTCAAATTTAGTCGCTTCCTCCTTGGGTTGCCTGGACCCAGCATGAAAGTTACTGGAGAACCTGTAACGTTGCAGTTGCAGAGGAAGTTCTGAGCAGCTTGTATTAGAGCACACCCGATCCCTAGGTAGTTTAGTTGCTGAAACTAAGAAACCTTTATCTAGATTTCCAAAAAATCTGTTGACGGAGTAAAGTTTGATAGACTAGTGTTAAATTTTCATTTTGCTTCATAAAACATTTGAGTTTAAGTTGAATCTTTCATGTCTCTCTAGGTTTATCATTGTCTCATTTTTCTAGCATCAGCCAGGCAAGAGAAAACAATATAATCTTCTGCTGGTGGTGGCTCATTATCATCAAGTGAGAGATCTCAATGATGTTACTTGCCTTGAAGTTGCATGTGCTGTAATGTTTTAAACCCACTGAATATCTAGCTCTGTTTCTTTAGGAGTTGAGTACAACCCACATTGCAAATGGAATAGTGTGTGTATTTCTAGTCAGAAAGAAACTGAAGATACTTAGCATATTAGAGAGAGAAAAAATTGTTAGATGATAACACAGAGTTTTTGTATTTATAATACTGAAGTATAAGGTGGCAATATATTCTTTTCCCTGTGCAATGCTCTATATGTGCGAAAATAGTGTAACAAGAAGACACACCATATCGCTATCCCAAAGTGATGTGTGTCACTGCTTGAATTCCTGGCACTTAGACCCAGCAGGTTCCATTTTTTCAGGCAAGCACAGGTTAATTGGGGAAGTAAGGGAGCTTTAATCCCTACATTAGCACAGCCAGTGTGGCACATGTTTCCACATCACATTATCAGGCTGTGTCATTCCCTGCTGTCCTTGAGGAACCCTGAAACTTCAGAAGTCTGTGATACTTACTGTTTCCTGTAGTGGGAAGTGAGTAGTTTCACATATTTTTAATTCCATTGGTATTCTTCCCAGTAAAAATTTATTTACATATTTGAAAGTATTTCCTTTTCTCTTTGGTACCTTGCCTGTGTATGCATTTTATATATTCAAAGGCTGTTCTGTCAAGAAATATTATGTTTACACTATACTCATTAAAATTGAGCAAACTTTTTGCGATTCCTTTATTACCTAGTACACTGATGTTTTGCATAGCAGAAGTCACAAGACATCAATTGGATTTAATTAACTTTATTTTAAATTACTAAAGTAATGACAGTAGACAATACTGTAGCATGTTCATAAGTAGTAAAAGCAGTGCTTGCACTGTTACATTATTAAATCTTAATGAAACTATTCATAGCAGAAACTATATTTATTATTTATTATTGCGGGAGTAGAAAAGTGTGTCTTTGCAAATCCAGGATTTCTCTTTGTTGAAAGAAGATTCTGTCTCTTCCTAGATGTGTAGTCAGAAGACAGTGAAAGGTCATATGGTTAGCAACCTTTGGGGTTTGCCTTCCTCTCACCACATGGATTCTCCCTTACCCCTGTTAGAAGAAGATATAACGAAAGGTGAGTCACAGAAGCCCACCTGGGTACTGTTGCCACCAGATGTACGCTACATAAGCAGTGGCATTTGATGTTTGCAGCAGGTATCTGGTAATCAAATTTTCTGGCACCTCAAAACTTGTAAGAATTGTCATCTCAAATGTTGTAAAGGGTAGAGATCAAGTTCGGACTACTTCATCCATGTGGTAGCTAACTTAGGACATAGTATATGTTATGTTGAGTATCATCCTCCCTGAGTCAATTATCTTGTAATTTATGGAGTTCAGTTGCTACTGGAAAGAATTGTGTGTGATGGAGGATACTTGTATGACTAAATAACATGGTCAAAATAAACGGTCATGATTAATGTCTGGTTTTTAATCATTTGATCTCAACTAGACCTGCACTTGGACTATTTTAGCAATCGGTCCATATTCACGATTATGTGATTACATTGTGGTTTACAAGAACTAATTCTCATCCATTCTGTGTATTAAATTGCCATTGTATAAGCACATAATTCCTTCTCAGAATCAGCACCATTACAATATGTTTCATGTATTTGTCAGTTTTTATAGGCAAAGTTCACCTTCCTTGAAGGTAAAAAACTGAATATTGAAAGATAAGAATCTTTCAATAAAAGAAAACTGTTGCTTTTCTAGTGTTGATTTGGAATTGGAAGAACTTGAGTCTGCCTTTGTTTAATTCTTTCTTTATTGTTACTAATTTTTTTCTTTCATAGCTGGAATGTATATGAATTGTTCAGTAATGTCATCTTCGTGTAGGTATTCTGAGCCTAACTGAACAAAGGCTTATCCCTCCAGCAACAAAGATAACTCTCCAGACACATCCTGTTCTATCCAAAGCAGCGCCTTTCCATGAATTTCACAGGCATCACAAGAAGTCAGCTGTAGGTGAGTGCAAAGGATTGATAACAGCCATCAATTGCACCTCCAACTTCACTTTCAGGCCCTTGTTTTATATCACAAGGAAACAGCTGTCTAATAAGCACTCACTCAAATTCTTAAGAATACTAAGTGCATAAAGATGTACATGAGCATCCTGTGTCATGCAACTGAATGGGAATCAGATTTCTTCATCCCTTTGAGGATTTGGTCTCTGTTCATTTCTGAAATCCTGGTAGGTTCTTACCTGCATGTTTCATATTGTAAGCACCTGAGTCTGAAGATCTGACCATTGATGTTAGTGTAAAGCCAGTGTTACTGTAAGTCATGACTTAACATGACTTACAACAGCTGATCAAGCATCTGTTTTATTAATTTGTGTGATTAAATGAATGATTCCTAATAAGTGAATATACTATGGGCAATGGGATTCTGATCTATCACAAAGTATACCCAAAACTGTTGTTGCTACAGCTCCTTATGGCATATGACACCAGTATGGAAAGGAGCGTAAGCAAAATGAGCAGTGGGCTCAATAGCAATCCCATAAATTTGAAAAGTTCTCCTAGTGAAAAGGGGTGGTTGAAAACTAAAATTATATATGGAATAACCTGGAGTATAAGTGCTAATATTTTGACATTGTTATCCTGGGTATACTGTTGGCTGGCATATTACAAACTTTAAAACACTATAGATTAAAACTGTGATACATTTTCCAATAGCCTAATCGCAGTCTTCACAATAGCAACCTGTTATAGCATGATTTGGTTTATGGCCATCCAGTGGCATTCCTCAATGTTTTTTGGTGATAACTCCTGAAAATTGCAACCTGCTTGGATGTGAGAGCAAACTGGAGCATGCCAGTACCTAATGGTAGGTGGTAGAATATCAATTTGATGCTGTTGTTGCACTTGTTTTAACAATGAAACCTGCGATCGATTTTTTTTTTCTTTTTTCTTTTTTTTTTTTTCTTTTTTCCTCCTTTGGTACAGGAGAGATTAGTAGTAGGGTGGATCCTGAGAATACAGACACCATCACCTTCCCAAACTCAAAGGAAGCAATTTATGGCAAGTATTCCTCTAGTAAAGATAACATTGCACCACTTCCATCCAGCAGCTCCATGGTTTCACCAAGGAAATCAAAGCCGGCGTGGACGTATCCAGCTCAACAGTTGGAATCTGAGCTGCAGATTCCCTCTCAGACACAGGTATTTAGACAGTGAGGATAATGAGTTTTTTATTCATGTTTTTAATACTGTCTTTACCAGAGATGGTTTAGGAATTGACTGTAAATCACTGGATTGGTACAGGAGGGTTTGAACGAAAGCTAGTAAATAGTAAATATTGAAATAAGTAGGAAATACTTTGTATATTGCCAGTTTCTACTTTCTCAAGTCTTCTACCTAAACTTGTCTGCTTTTTCACAGAATCTTAGAAAATAAGTCTAGAAAGGATGTTACGAGGTTATCTGGACCTCCAGGCAGAATTACCTGTACCTGTAATATTGCAGACAGATGTTTTTCTAACCTGTTCTGAAAACTTTCGGTGATAGCAACTCCACAGTCTCCCTAGGCCATCTGTTCCAGTACTTAACTAACTATCTTTACTGTTATAAAAGAGTTTTTTAATGTCTTGTCTAAATCTCCCTCACTGCAGTTAAGCAAATGTAGTGTTTCCCTTTATATTTACAGAAGACTATAGGGGAGTTTGACCTTGACTGCTTAATGCTTGCTGATTGTTCTTGATCCCCATGCAAAAGGGACATTTCTTTCTTTTTATGGCTAATTATTGTGTTCCATAGCAAACTGTCTGGAGTTTTGCTTGATCTTTCCGGACTTTTTGACTTTTGTGCCATTGAGGAGATCTGAAAATGAAAGAGGAGATCTGAAAATCAAAAATAAAGCAAACTTGGGAAATGGAGATCAATGAGTTATTAATGTAAATAAAAAGAATTACCTAAAAATAGTTTGAAAATAGTGCACTTAGATTGAAAATCAGAGCTAATGAGTTGCTGGCTAAAGTTGCCAGTAAATATGGAGTTCTGTTAAGAGGCAGGAACATGTCTATTCCAAGTTTTACCCCATTTGCATTTATATGGCAGGATGTTACCCATTCTCCTGGGATAAGTGGAGGCAGTCTCAGTGGAAGAATGCTATTGCGGTAACTTTCTGATTGTAGTCCAGTGAATCACTTAATTTTTATATTTGGTAAATCACGGATAGTTCCTCTGTGCAATTAATGTATTTCCATAAAAATGCTCATAATCTTGCATGACCTCTGAGGTCTTTGTTTGGCAATAGGTTTTATGGTAAAGATGGGCTAGACTTTGTAGTTATGATGTATAAATTAGTATGAGGAG